GTCATATTGATAGTAAGACATGGAGGAGTTCATCTAGTCCAGAGTCTATAGTATGCATGATAATTTCCAGTCGGATTGAGAATGTACCACGTCCACGGTCCGACTGGAAATTATCATGCATACTATAGACTCCGGACTAGGTGCGTTCCTCCAGTAATGTCTACTGTCTGCTGGATGGCTTTTCCATAAATATTCACGTAGTTCTTACTGTTGTATTTCTTGGGACATGATACTTGGACCTCGCTCCTTCAACTCACTTTATCATAGTGTCAATTCAAAACGAGTCAAGAACTAGGGAGATATGCGTTTGTTACAAGTTAGACTTCTTATTATCCGCCAACAATCTTCACGATGAACTGGGAACGTGACTTTGTCAGAAAATGTCCATTACTTTTTGTGCAAACCTGACGCTTGTGAGAATAAACCAACTTAGAAAGCTGAAAATAAAAATGAAGCTTGGCTCTATGACGTGGGAGAAACGAGCATAGTGCCAGTTATGGGAGGGGCAATACATCCTCAGATGTGAAGAGTACTACTGCCATTTGCCAGAGTATATGCCTGTTTAATTGCATTTACTCGTCATTCCGACGCATTGTGCTTCATGACTTTTCCCGCTTAACTTGCCGATTCCGGCGAAATGTCTGGAGATGGACTTTATCAACTGTTGCTCTATAGTGAGAGGACCCTTCGTGTCTACCCGTAAGTATTGCCAAGTTGTAAAAGCTATACTAAACAGATCATGTTAATTTATACAATATGTATTCCATGGTTAGCTCGAAATCTGTATTTGGTGATTTCCATCGTATTCCGTATCTTTTATTCATCCCTTCCCTCCTTACCTAGGATTTATGCACCCGCCTGCTAGACTCCACTGCTTCGGTCGCAGCTTCTGACCTAGAACAACCGACTTGGTTCCGACGTACATTGCAGGTAAAGCAGGCTCCAGTCTCTAAACCGATGAGCTCCAATCCTTCGGGTGGCCTCTACGTGTCTGGACAGACGTCAGCTAGTGGCAGCCTTGTGATTGGCCAGGACTTATTGACCTCAATGGATGCTTCTGTAGTATCCACATCACTTCCCGCCTCTTCACCTGCCTGCGCCTCCCACAACCCTGTCTCCTTTTCTATCTCCTCTACTCCTTGGCCCTCAGATTCAATGACGCCAAATGGGTCCTTGGCGGCCTGCCCAGATTCTACCATTACCAGTTCAGAGCTCGCTCACTCGTCAAGTTCTGGCATCTTCTCAGCCTCTCCTGGTACTCAGTGTTACACGGGTGATTGGCAACACTATGTCATGTTTTTGTATCAATAACTTTAAGAAACATAACCCCCTTTAAGTCGTGTATCTCTATGACACTCAATGATCTAACTTTGGCTTACTTGGACTTCTATGATGGTAGACAAATAAAATCTACTCCGACAGCGAAGGCCCTCTCTTACTATTTGGTTGCATCTGCTTTAGAGGTAGAAACTTTA